GTGATTTTTGTTTCCGAAGAATATAGAGCCAAGAGCACAAGAACCTTTTGGATAGGCAAGAACGCAGCCTGCACGGCTTCAATTTTGTTATAAACTGAGAATATTTACTAAATGTTTGATTCTATTTTTGTTGTGTGATCGATTTTGGCCAATCTTTGCTATATTATCATAATGTAACGCGACAGAAAACATAAATTACGTAAAACAAAGTTATATCTACACATAATTTGACACGTTTCCCAAGCATAAGGTCTGATATGCATATGTAACATAAAGATGTCCGTAGTAAATTGTCACATAATCACATAAGAAACTCTGAAATAACGAAATATAAGCCGTAAATGTAGTTTTTTTTTAAAAATAAATGCGTCATAATTTGCTTCTTAATGCTTTATATAATTAGTAAAAAAAATTAAATGATAGAAAAATACCAATACAAGTTACAGCATATTTTACATTTTACAAACTTAAAATCGCTCTACTGTAAAGTTGTGATTATGTAGTAGCAGCGTTATTCTATGGATAGGTCGATTTAAGCAACTCTCTCACACGCTTCAACAGGCTACAACGCAGCGCGAGCGAAACGGCGCGAGTCCGCGTCGCTTTGCAGCCGACTGCGTTTTCTTTTCTCTTTCTACAGATGGCTGAGTTATATTGTTGTCCTTTTCTTGATAAAAAAAATCTCGAATAAGTAAATCCCTTACGCCGCTAAAGAAGTTTTCACTTCAAAAAGTCGCTTTTCTTGCAGCGCTTTCCATACATCTACTGTTTATTTTTCTAAAACTGCACAATATTGTTATATTGAGGTGCACATGCATCGTATTTGGAATTTGAATGCCTAATTGTGACTAAAGCGAATCGTGGTCATGCACCACAATTTAAGCGGAGCACTTATGAGTCGCGAGTGCCATATCTTCCCTTTTTGTTTTAATCTAAGGATGTGAAGCATGCAAGGTCCTACAATTTCGTTTGTTGTACACTACACCTACACTCACACAAATGCACCAGGTCCGACAACCCGCTGCCATATGACTCCGCGTGATAGCGCCAGTCACCCGTTCAATGGTCCGACGAAATGTTTAAAATAAGCAGACTTTTGTGGTGAAATTATGTAAAATGAATCGTGATAATTTTCCTAAGTTATATTTTATTTAATGTGATGAAATTTCTAAACAAAAAATACAACGGTGTGGCCATTTTTATACGGGAAAATTTACCTTAAAGTGCGAAAATTAGTATTTCTTGCATTTGTGACTCTGTAAGACGTAACTTTTTAGGGTTCCGTATCCCAAACGGAAAAGAATAGAACCCATATTATTCATATAAAATTACTCGTGTCTCCTGTCCAATAGGTTTCTTAGAAATAAAAGCTGTAGAGACGACTAGGTTTCAGTTATTCAAAACTGCAGAGGAGAAAACCTTTGGAACCCATCATCTGCCAGTACTGTGTGCAGTGCACATTTTGATGATTTTATAGCTACAGCCAACGGGCTTCTTTGTTTGCTTCCGTACGGAATCTGCGTGATTTATATATCTATAAAATATTTTGGCAGGCCTCAAATTTGCGTCTTCCGCTGTCCGGTCTGGATCACTAACCACTAGCATTTGTGGTAGTTTCTATAATAAAAAAAATGTTATTATCAAGTACCCAATCCGCACTAATTATTTTATTTTTATAAATGTATATTATTTAGCGCAAGCCACTTATATTTACATGTAAAAAATATGTTTCTTTATACGTAACAAGTGTTTCTCTTCTATATTGTGTGGTCAAAGAAATGAATTTTATAGTTTAACATTATGTTTTTGAAGTGAAAATTCAAATTTCATTTCAATTGCTGAAACATTGGGAGCTCACAAAGACAAGAAACATAATAACATAATGTTACAAATGTTTTATTTTGCGAGATTTAAAAGTAGGGGAATTGGTGATTTATACGACCACTCTCGAATCACGCACACATGGTAAGTGGGCGGTCATTGGCATGCTTCACTTACGATTACATGCGGTTACGTCTGTCTTTTTTTCAGGTCCGTGTAGATAATTAAATATCTTCGAATAAGGAAACCTGGAGAGGGTTTGAAACGACTTCAATAAAAAGCTAGTTTATACATTGACCTATTCATAGAAGTAAATCCTATACATTAGTCTACCGTATGAACGATTCCTTAAACTGGTTGTTAACTGTAACAACAATTTGTTTCGAAAATGAGAACTAATTAAAAATTGTGAGCAGTAGCACATTAAAAATAATTATGGGTACAATAAATGGTAAAAGACTAAAAAATATATTAATAAAAAAATATTAGACTAGCCGTGCGTTGTATATTATGGGATTAAAATTAAACTTTTACACACCATACCAGGGTGTTTAAGAGTGCAAAATGCGAAAAATCTACCAGATATTTAAGGACGTTAATATATTGGTCGAATTCTAAATTATAATATAGGCAACTTCTCTATGTCTGTGCAACTTCTGTTTATGATACAGTCAAGACCATGGACAGTGGATATATTTGGCACTACGAATAAAGATAGCTCTTATCGTTATGCAATAAGTGTTTTCAATGTCAAATTGTAACCACCGATGATTGTTTGACTGTACTAGACATACATACTATAAATTAGAGTCGAAATCTCACTTTACATCGTGCATTTTTTTTAAGTTATCATATTCAGATCCTAATTGTATAACTTAAATACCTATCACGTTATTTACCTTTCAATGTTATATATAATAAATTCCTAACAACTCCGAACAATTAATATACAATCCATGTAAAGAGACCTTGAACTATATAAACTAAATAAGGTATGGAATACACTATACAAAGTATACACATAGTACATCACACTAATATTATAAAGGCGAAAGTTTGTGAGTGTTTATGTTTGTTACTTCTTCACGTCTAAACGGCTGGAGCGATTATAATAAAATTTGGTATTGAGTTAGCTGATATCCTGAATAAACACAGGCTACGTTTTACTGCGGGAAAATATCCCTAATAAACCGCGGGTAACACCGCAGGGCACAGCTAGTAATAATATATGTATTGATGTATATAGATATACAAACAACCATGAGTCACTCATCACAGGAAAAAAATGCTCTTATCAGGATTCGAATCCATGACCAATTTAGCAGTAAGCAGAAGCGAAGCCGTTGATTGAATCAATCGGTTGCCAACAAATATAACATTTTTAAATTCGATATTTGAAGTATGTTTTTCAAAATCAAAATATATTTACACAACTTAACGTGAAAAGGTATCGTGGTAGGAATTGAAGCCAGACAAATAGGTAAGCTAACTTACGCCACCTTATCACAAAACGATGATCAAAAATTCGATACTGTCTAGAATAAACCCAGTAAAACCCCATAAAATTGTAAAAATTTCGAGAACTACCTATTTAATTAAAAGTTTTCTCATCTTTCTTTTCTATTTTACAAGCAGACGAGACAACTTTATAGCGTTTGTACTTTAGATAGTCTTCCTACATATTGGGATCTGACAAAATTCGTGAGACACCTGGTGTTCAATTTTGGAACTAATACCGGGGTGCATCGCTCATCAAAACACATAAGTTATCATTAGTGTCATTAGTACTTTTGAGAAATTAAACAAAAAATGACGGAAGAATTAGGAATATTTAACCCTCGCAAGATTTCTAAAAAAAGAATAAAGTGTTGTGTGTATGGATGTGGAAGCAGTTTTCAAAAAAACCGTGAATTAACGTTTCATAAGTTTCCTAAAAAAAATGCGCGTTGTGTTTACATCAAAAATTATTTTGGTCAAATGGAAAAAGTGGACCAATTCACAGCATGGAAGAACGCTTTGAAGATTGACTGTAAAATAAATCCTCACATGAAAGTGTGTTCATTGCATTTTCTGAAAGACGACTATATATTACCAGGTGAGTCAAATTCGTTTTTTGAGGTTAAGCATGTGTGAAGTAGCATTTTACAAGATCTCATTATTATTCCACTAAGAAAAGAATGGGACGGCAACAACATTAAAATGAAAGAGTTTCCTTGGTTTAGTTACCACAATTCAATAAATGTTTGTGTATACCACAATTCAATAAATGTTTCGCAGCTACCAGTCGTTCACCCTCTCGAAAATTGCGATTACTGGGCGTTGAACCGGACCATTCACAAATATCATTAATTGTTAAGACTATCATTATCTACCACTAATATTGATATTTAACTATTTTACGGCATTTCATCACGGTTTGACTAGGCAAATGCACCCCCGTCGGCGCCATATTGAATAGGCCACGCCTCCATGTCAGATCCCAATAAAATGATCTTTAAGTTTTACAGTAACGCAGATTTCATTTTATTATAGACTTATTTAAATATCATTAATCATTTTAGAATGATTGTCGGACAAGTACTTTTCTGCGATTCGCTTTTTATATCTTATTTAAAAGTGTATTTGTTTTTCATTATGTTCTAACGCGTTAATTTGCTTCTCGCTAAGTTTATTATCAAAATAGTGACGATGTATTTTAGACAGTGTTTTGTTACTTGTAGGGCTGGTTTTACAATTCTTGAATAAACCTCATTCATCAAGTGCAAAGTATATAATATACTATCAAAAGAAACGTCAAAATGAATGACAAAGTAGAAACAACATTCTCAATTTGTCAACATAATACGATATCTGTGTCTCCCTGTAACGATAAGGTTTATCTAGGGATTGAAAAATGAGCCCCAAGCTTCATGTTTTGTGCTAAGCTTAGGCATAGAGAATGGATTGAGAGGCATTCGCAACATGCAATACATAGACGAACTCTGGATCACCCTATTTCTTCGTCACTCTCACGCTGATCTGCCTAGTTTTACTTGACATTTGACAGTAAGGGGACGCCATAGTGGTATAAGAATAAAGTGGGGAAGGCGGCTCTAAAAGTTTCCGTCTAGTAGAAAGAGAAAGAAGATGAGAGACCGGTAGCTATCTCTCTCACTTGTGACGCATGGCATCCAATGGCATCAGATCGAAATAGTAAGATGCTTACGGTTGCCAATGCGCATGCGCGATTAGAGAAAGCTAGCGGTCTCTCATCTTCTCTCTCTTTCTATTAGAGGGACACTTCCACTTGTAGTAGAGTCTATATCTCCCCTACTCTATTGTTATACCTCTATGGATCTGCCTAGTTTTACTTGACAGTTTGTAAGGGAACGCGCAGTCCATTCTTTATTTCTATGAGGCAGTAAGTTATCTTGTTTGATATTGTATTTAAGCTGGCAATTCGGGCCTGGTCCCAACGCCGCCGGCGAGATCGAATACGGCCTGAGCGACTTCTGACGCTAACTTATCCGCGGACTGAAACAAATAACAGATAAGATTAATTTTAAATCTAACATATAAAATTCTCGTGTCACGGTGTGCGTAATTGAACTACTCCGAAACGGCTAGACCGATTTATGTAAACTCAGTAGGTCTGAGAATCAGAAAACACCTATTTCTCATCCCCCTAAATGTTAAGGGTTTTAACCTTAAATTTTACACCCTTAAATTTTTTTTTGGACAAAATTTTTGGTTTTTATTTTATTATGATACATCATACAAAAATACATACAACCCTAAAGGTTCACCCTTCTACCACCAACCCCTATTTCTTTATGGCGGTACGAAGTTTGTTGGACAGCTAGTTACTTTATATATCATTGTTACTTTATATATTTTTCGCGATTTCAGTTGGTCCTATAATAAAAGTTGTTCCTGTTGATGGGTAGAATCAGCCCCTAAGAGCTTGTTGGTTTTTTAAAATTAACCCTGTATATTTTTTTATTTTAATTAAAGAGAAAGGCCTGTTTTACCTTGCTAGTGTCCGCTTCAGCATATACTCTGACCACGTCCTCAGTGCCAGAGGGTCGCACAAATGATCTGCCGCTCTTGTATTTGGCCACCAAAGCATCGATACGATTTTGCAAACCTTCGGGCGAAGTGCAACGACGTTCCGCATCCGTTGTAGAGATGGCGTTGCGGTCCTGAACAATCGTAATAATAATAGTTTATTTGTTGGATATTTTAATAGGAACCGCTTGAAATCTTGGCGTAACCATAGACATATAATGAACTGAGCGTTCTTTATCCAATTGTAAAGTAAAAAAAAAAAAGTGTAAGAGAGATGAAGCGACTGGGCGGCCCATAGTTGGCTGTTTTGCCCCCTTTAAAGGTTGAACAAATGACACATTCATTGAGTGAATGTTCTCTTTAAGAAGGGAATAAAGTGGGAATATAATTTAACAAATAAAAATACGTTTGCTCATTGTTATACAGTTTATTTTTGCGTAAGACACAACTCGAGTCATCTTGTCTCAGATATGAGACTAAGCTTTCAATGTTCGGGTGTTCGGATCTGAGACTAAGCAAAAGCGAGGGTGAAAAGTGAGTTTTCAATTTCATGCGAGTGTCGCTCAGTACATTATATGTGTCTATTGGCTAACTCGCGTCAATAAAGCAGCCAATGGAAAGTGGCGACGCAATACATTCTGTCAGTCTCGCATATTATTCCTGACTGTATGTGCGACGAAGAAATACTGCTGTGGACACTACTGATGATAAACCGAAAATTATTAAACGAATGTTACAAATATTTGATTCGCATCATTTTAAACATTCGCATCAAACGAAGCAACTACAACTCAAATGATTTGCAAACATATAAATTTTGTAGATTGTTTACGTAACGAACTATTTTAAAGGCTTTTTTTGCAGCAAAGATGTCACGAATATTTGCATTCGCATTCGCAGAATTATAAATATTCGCATTCGCATCAAACGATGCAACTACAACAACAAAGTCAGGGGTGTTACGAATATTTGCTTTTGCATTGGCATCATTGCAAACATTCGCATCAACATTCGCATTAAACGAGGCAACCACAATTTAAATGTTTTTCGGACATATAAAAATAGAAGATTTTTACTAAGGGAGCAATAAACTATTTTAAAGGCAAGCGCGTTTTTTGAGGGACGTTACAAATATTATGTATTCGCATCAAACAATCCAACTACAACTCGAATGATTTGCAAATATATAAAAAAATCAGATTGTTTACGAAGGGAGCGAAGAACAGGGTTTTTTGTAGCAGGCATGGATGGATGTTACGTATATCTGCATTCGCATCATTTTAAACATTCGCATTCGCAGCAAACTATGCAACTAAAACTCAAATAATTTTGTAACGCCGAGGTAGGACCCCCAATTTGAGAACAGGTTATTTGCAAATATTGCAACGTGCAAAACGCAATACTTTCATTCTCACTACTTGAGGAAGATACATTTTTTTATGATAAAACCAAATAATAGCTGTTTGTGTAAACAATTATGACCGAAGGCGGAATGTATTTCGCACGTTTAGTTTATATACAGCCTGTGATTTGTTAAGTTGCTCGTGATTGATCTTTTCGGTGATTGAAATTTTTACATACAATATACATACCTAATTAAAATCACTATTAGTCTTAGTTATTGAAACGTTATTTTGGTCATTGTAAACAGAGAACAAAATAGCTCTTTTGATTGAAAGATGTGTTGAAAAAAACTTATATGATTATTTACGGATGCCAAAACGACTATTTGACGAAATTTTACAATTCATTCAAAACTATATAAAATCAAGATATCCATTTTGTAATGTAAACGAACTCGTTCGCTAAAAACGTTGAACTGGCGTCTCAAACGAATGCAAACAATTATGTAAAAAAAGTTTTGTGTAGACGATTTTGTTGAATGTTATTATGTTTTTGTTGATTGTGTAAAGCAGAACACTCACTAAGGACCCGGTTTTACGGGCGCACTCGAGATACACAAATTAATGATTAAATTTTAATTTAATCGATGTAGTCACTTTCTTTTTGATAAATTATTAGCTTATTTAATTTTAAAACTTAATTGCTAAGCAATCTCACCTGTACGGTAACTTTGAGTTGTCTACTCGGCAGATCGGTGTAAGATTGAAGCCATTGTTTAGCATTAATACCTCTCGCACAAAGCACCGTTTCCACTAGGAATAGGTCCGAAATGGCGTCGCCAACGGTCTCGTTCGTCATATCGATTAAGTTTAGTAAGAGTTGAGCAGCTTTACGTTGTTCTGGTTCTCTGAAAATAAATATCTATCTTGAAATGTGTTCAAGATAAATAGGGAAGATATGGGACAAAATTTACTATCTAATGTCAACTCTTTCCACGATTTTATTTAAAACTAACACTTGTATTTATAGAGATGTAATTGCTTGTTGCTTAGTAAACAAGTCATTACTGGCTCTCTGAAAATAAATATCTACGTCACATTTCAAGATTAAGAGGGAGGATATGGACAAAAAAAATATTATATAATGTCAACTCCTTCCACGATTTTCTTAAAAGTTAACACTTGTATTTATAGAGATGTAATTAATTGTTGCTTATTAAATAAGTCATTACTTGAGACTCGAATTCTTCAGAAAAAAATAATGGTTACTTAAAATAACGAAAATGGTGACTTCTTTTTCGTGATGGTGACTTATTACGTTGTTCGGAATTATTATTTTTGACATTCTTACTTTGATCATTTTATGTTGCTCAAGTGATTACTTAAGTAAAAGTATTTACTCGTACTTGTTTATAAAAAAGCCTAATAAGCTAAATAATATAAAATTCGTTTTGTACTGTTCGTGGAAGGAAAATTGTAAAATACAATAATATATTTTTTTCAGTGGATTGTCAATCTTATATCAAGCAGTGTAAAGCTCAGAACCAGCACGAGAAATTAAGTTTTGGGTTACTTGTGACTGTTACTACAATTGAGGGATAAAGTATAATGATCATTCTTTCCAGATGATGAAGCAGGCAACCAATAGTAAGGTAAAGACACCAAGTGCTTACCCTTCACTAGCTATGTTCCCGATAGTCTTCTTAGCTTTATCGCTGTACACGACAGTTCCATGGCCGTTCGCCTCGAAGTAAACTCCGATGTCGAAGGACAACGCGGCGTGATGCAAATGCTTCACACCAGTTTTTACACAACTCACTGGCACCTTCTGTAATTATTGTAGGGTATAATATTTACCTCAATTTCAACATTCTAATTTCAATATTATTCCATTTTGTTTGCAAATGGTCATCACTCTATACAGGGTTACTTTTAAAATACCGACAACCTCTTAGGGGGTGATTCTACCCATCAACAGGTACAACTTTTATTATATTATGGGACCAACGCTGAAATCGCGAAAAAAAATCTGCTGTTTCATACAAAAGTGCATCAGCTAATCGACCGAAATGTACGAAACAGCAGTATTTTTTTCTCGATTTCAGAGTTGGTCCCATAATAAAAGTTGTTCCTGTTGATGGGTAGAATCAGCCCCTAAGAGGTTGTTGGTGTTTTAAAATTAGCACTGTATATAATCGATAGTATATAAGAAGTAAATGCCCCATACCAACTCCTCCGTAATGTATCTAGTGGAAGCTCCGTTAGCGTAAGCGGTTTGCACGAGACCAAGCTTGAGATCGGCTGCTTCGGCCGACTTCAGTAGCTGCGTCACGTAACTGGCGAGCAGTGTCGCTATACGATCGCCGTCTAATAAGATCATGTTGTCTCTGTAAATAAAATATATTCACATTGAAAGATCCATTGAATAACGAAACTTCGAAGGCGAAACAAAATTTGTAACTCGTTTTTTCTCTTTCCTGCCTAGTCTAGTCCAGTTTGGGACAATTAAAAGTGGTTGCTTTTTATGTTACTATTAGAATTAACCTGTTACATAAGGATTTCGTTAACAAACTTATGTAAACAAATAAATAATAGAATATGGGCCCGTTAAACAATAAATGGGAGATCGTTTTTTGTTTCGTTTTTTTAGAGATGAAAACTGCCTACTTCGGCATGATTCTCTAAACTTAAATATAAATATGACAGCTTGTCTGTAGTTTTCATACTCTAATATGTACTAGCGGCCGCCCGCTACTTCGTACGCGTGGAGTTAGTTAGAAATAAAGGTTCACTGCTGGTTCTGCGTAGGTGATAGCGTGATAATATGTAGCCTATATGTTGACCCGACTTCTTAATAATATCGTGCCAAAATTGAAGTAAATCCATGCAGAACTTTTCGAGTTTATCCCGGACATACATACAGACAAACAAACAAACAAACAGACCAAAATTCTAAAAACTATATTTTTAGCTTAGCTTTAGATGGTAGATCACAACCCTCTTAAAAGTATTCTTTTAAAAAATATTTAATGTACAGTTTTGTCTTTCCTACCATTTTATTATATGTATAGATATTATTCAGTGAATAATGGCAGATGCAGAAAAATAAATTATCTACGAAGTAACCATCCGCTTTTACTAACTTCTACTTTTTTTTCATTTCCATAGCTAATGTCCTATTTAAGTTTGCATATAAATGAATAAATGGACTCACTTGTCATCCATGTAGTAGTATACGATTCGATCAGAGTCGCCGTCCAGGGACGCCACCCTTTGGAACGGAACGTGTTCCACGCCCACTGGGGGCTTCTGTGATACTTTCACGAAATCAGCACCACACTGGTGAAAATAAACAAACCATAAGTATAGGAACTCGATGGCGCAAGTGGTCAGCGCGTTCGGCTGCGATCGATAAATTTAAGAAATTTTCGCAGTGGTCGGTCTTTGGATGGGTGGCCAAAAATTTACTATCTCGAACTCCTCCGTTCTTCGGAAGGCACGTTAAACCGTTGGTCCCGGCTGCATCTGCAGTCGTTAGCACCCACCAATCCACACTGGGCCCGCGTGGTGGTCTCTATTCCATCCATGGCAGGCCTGTGCCCCAGCAGTGGGGAAATTAATGGGCTGATGATAATATTGATAAATAAAGTGCGATTAAACTTTACGACGGTTTTGAAGTTATCAACGAATGCAACTATGCGCAGGTTTCTGTTCCCTACATTGCGTTTGCTTCACCATGACTTGCGATAACTTCACAGCCGTCATTAATTCATAGCCATTAAGAGAGGACGCGAGTTGAGAGACATTTGAGAAGATTTCCTTCTCGTAAAATTAGATTATGTAAAAGAAATTTTACTAATAGAATAATAAATACTTATACTAGGCCTCTGTGTTTTGCTTTTTTGTAAATGCTTATTGACGTTTTTATTGGTGATAAAAAAATATGTATGTTTGGCATTTTTGAGGGCTGTTAGTTGCTTTAAAATATAAGTTATCGAAAAATGAAAGACATGAGCTTAAAAAGAGTATTAATTATATTTTATGTATGAAAATCATTTCTTTAGTGATAAAAATCAAGGAGGGATCAGTCAGAACGTTTGTATAGAAAAACATTGCCCGCCTCCCCTCTTCAGTTTGAATCGTTCTGTATTAGACGACGACAATCGAGGTTAAGATAAAAGATTTTCCAATTGAATATGGACATCCCCATGCCACTTCCACTTCACAGAAGACTGACAAATATTTTTTTTTACTTTTGTTGTTTTCATTTAAGCATTTACTTGCTTTACTATAAAGAAAGACATTATCTTCGACTAACAAAAATATTTTGAAAAAGTCTCAGATCTGACTGCCACCTACTGCGTGGACTCATTTGAATGCACATGAATAGCTAACATAATACTTAATTGAAATCGACACAGTCATTTAGTGAGTAAAATACTACTTATTTAAACCAGTAAAAAATTCTTTAGTTTGACTATCTCGGAATAATGAGGGTGTTTATGAAAATTTACGTCACCAGTTGGCGCCACTGTGAGGTGAGGTCTTTTGTATGAAGTTTTTGGCGTCAACTAATCGCAAGAGCATTTAAATTGATCCAAAGACTTTGAGAACATATGCGATTTGACGGATGAGTAGACCTTTTGTCTCAGTACCGCCACCAGGTGCCCGTCATTCCGAAAACCATCATTTCTTAATGCTACTAATTGGAATAAACTTTGAATGTTGGTATGCTTAAACTTTTCATCCTTTTAAGCTTTTATAAAATAAACTCCACTCACATTAAGGTTCAATTTGCCGCCATTGCCGCCCAAGTTGTATAGATGCAAATCCAGTTCTCCATCCAAAGTCTTCTTGATGATGTTAAGTTTCTTGCCGCCGACGCCGTTCGCGCCGTCCACATACAATGTGGTGTTATATTCGCCGTAAACCGGCAACTTCTGACGAATGTTTTTGAACGCACCTACTATTTTCTCGTAGTAACCTGATAGGGATGAGATGAGAAAATGGTGTCATTAAACATTATTTGAAAAAAAAAAGCTTTGCAATTCCACAAACATTTTCAGCTATATAGAAATTAATAGTTATATAAACTGGTCTTACAAAAACAGCCATTTTATTGAACCACGATTAAAAGCAATTTCTAAGCGTTTAAAACTGAACTACCCGGTATATAATTATGTAAATTTACTATATATGTGTCTGCCTTAAGTCAATAAAATATTTTTTTTTTATTAGAAACTAGTGGCCCGCCCTCGCTTCGCTTCAGTACAGGCTATAGTTTTTGTGCTCCGGCTTGTATTATACACAATGAATTTATTTAACTGATAGTGAAAATTTTGTTGCGTAGTCCTGTTGTACGGAATACACCATTGATCTGATGTTAAAAAAAGTTTGTCCCTCCCTACCACTGGTCGATGCGCTTATTATTAAACGTATCTTGTGACGCAGTGATTTGTACACATCCATCACTTTTATCATTCATAACTATTGCACTCATGATATGAAATTTGGGAATGGTTTAATACAAAAAGTAATTTCAAATATTTACATTTGCCAGGTACCTTTGCTTCAATTGCGTGCGCTGGGTAAACGGTTAAAGTTACACAAAACTCATGTATGATGGAATTGTTTCCATTTAAAACTTCTATAAAATAGCCCGCGACAGCATATGTCCATCTTTTAAGTTTGACACTATAACCTTTTTACTTAAATTAACGCTAATTAGGTTTTGTCATTTCGGCATTTCACGCAGTAGTGCAGCATCGGTGTGGTGACTATTCCGAACTCTTTTGGGGTTTCCTTAAGAACTGTTCTTTTTACTGTACACAAGGTTGTAAACATCAGTTACCCTAAGAAAAGTTTACTAGAAAAAAAATCCACGCGGACCAGGCAGCAGTTTTTTCTAGTAAACTTTTCTTTAGATTTAAACATCTAGCAGTTAAATGCTTAAAAAATAAATAAAATCATAATTAGTTACCTTCTTCAGTGGGCGTGCCGTAAGTATTATCGTTTCGGCATTTAACGCAGTAGTGCAGCATCGGCGTGGTGACTATTCCGAACTCTTTAGGGGTTCCCTTCAGAGCTATAACGCCGTTGGCTGCTGCCGCGGCGAGGCGAGGACTCGTATATCTAACATTAGGAAAATAAAATTTAAATTCACCATAAATCTGGTACGAGATTGTCAGATACAAATCATGAAGATACTTTGGTAGGATAGCGGTCAGTCAAAAGAGCTACCGGAATTCGTTACTCCGTTGGTGAGAGATTTAATTTCCAAAAGCGACAAACAGTTTTTTTTTTCAGTTCAAATTTAATGATATTCAAGGATTATGTAAAAGTACCTTGTGTCCATCCCGATGAAGACGCTCGCCTTGAGCGCCATGTCGGCGTTAACCTGCTTGATGACTTCTGCCGTTGTTGATTCTAAGTCATTGTCACTATTGGGGAAAATGTTAACATTAGTTGCTTTTTTGTTGAATAATCAAATTGGCAGAATACGTGCTACTCAGATCTATCAAAAACATCTTGTTTATGGTTGTAGTTAAACCAATACGAGCTATGTACAAAAAAATTAAATTTAAGACAGCAGTTATTTGACTATATTCTGGCTGATGCACATAACATGTTTTTAAGCAACCTTTGTTCACTGTAATGCTGAGATTCGCATAGCAGTCTTTGCTATCAAAAAATCGGTTAATATAGTCTTAATGATGGAAATGTCGAAATCTCCAAAAAGTGCACATGTATAGCGGATATTGGTTTAACAACGACCATATGTTGTCATTATTTGAGAATAGGTCATGACACGCGGCTCAGTGGTGGTTGGTGTACTGTTGGTGCTTTCCATAGCACGAAGGAGATCAAGATAGTAAATGTTTGGTCACCCATCCTTTAATAGGCCACTGCGAAAGCTACTTAAGTTCTGCAGCCGCAGACCGGGGTAGCGTCAATGCGTCATCGAGCTTTTCCGAAATTATTATCATATTATTTTGTATCTTTGTCATTTTAGGGTTCGCCGTTCGGTACCTAAAAGGTAAAACTGAAACCTTATACGATCTCTACGTTGTCCGCCTGTCTGTCTGTCACGATCTTTTAACTCGGGAACGCGTGGAGGTAACGAGTTAAAATTTAAACCATATAATCAGGTCTACACCCTCTTGAAGCTATGAAACTCATGAGTACTAACTCATAATAGTGTCGAAATATGTTTTTGCACGTTAACTTAAAGTTAATTTTTAAAGTACTTTAGCATTCTCTAGTGAGAATGCTAAAGTACTTTCCGTTGACCTGGAACTATTAAATTTGGCAAGTAATATCGTGTACTGCAAGTACCGGAAAAAAACTGAAAACTTTATGAAAACAAATCTTTTTATGTATATTTTTAACATTTTTACTAATTTGTACAGGAGAGAATAAAATAAATCAGAACCCTCGATCGGCGACTCCGACTTGCCCTTGTCTGGCTTTTTAACTACGACTACGCCGCGCCGCGTTAGCATTATTTTATTATGGGTTGAGAATAGGTTTATGTTGTAGTTAACACAGATTGGTATATTATGTGATTGTCAACTGATGCTTTCATTTATTAGCAAGTTTGTAGGTCGATTCTATTTTTTGTGAGAAGAAACATTGGGAGAGACCATCAAGGTGAGGATGGCTCTACTCTGTGGTAGGTTAAAACTAGGTGCACTAGCCATGTCTTTGCCTCTGGAATCTAGATTCCACTTAACATCGGGCGGGATGGAGTCAAATGCCTAGTTAGGCATTAAAAAAATCCAATACCCTAATCTCCAGTGGCGAAAAACGGTTTCCGAAAACCGACAAGATTTTAATTCTTGACTTGGATCAAAACTTGTCGCTTTTAGAAAACTTTAAACTTAACTTTAATAGGGCCGTGGTAGCATAATGGTAAGTGCATTCGCCCGGATAGCGAAGGATGCGGGTTCGAGTCCCGTCCGCTGCCTGGTCCGCGTGGATTTTTTTCTAGTAAACTTTTCTTTAGATTTAAACATCTAGCAGTTAAATGCTTAAAAAATAAATTAAATCATAACTTTAAATTTATTTTGAATTATCTACAGGCAAAGCCCGAGCTTTCCGCCTGTAGTTCGGTAAGTGAAATGAGTGCAGCTTCCTCTGCGGTACCTATGGGCTTTGATTCGTGGTCGTGTTAACAACCTTTGGATCTTATTTGCTCAAGATAATTTGAATTTACTTGTAGCAAAGTATTGCTAACATTGACATTACTTAGCGTATATGCACTTTATGTTGTCTAATAATTAAGAATTGTCTATATCTACTATTATTAAACGTTTGATGATGCGGCAACATAATTAAAGTCTTAAAACGTGCCTTTAATTGTCCAATTACAACTCCTATCAAAATATCTTACAATTTGGCATTTGTAAGATATTTACAGAGTTCACATGTCTTTAAAGATTTTAGTCTAGTTTCAATATATTTTGAATAATAACTTATACTTTTATTTCAACTTTTTAATTTAGGCTTATGTTTTTTACCTAATGTTACAGTCCAGCGCATTTTATTTTCAATAAAGGTGAGACATCATTAACTAGACTGGTTCAATGTATGCCGATGCTAAATTTGTACCGGAGAATATTTTGTCGGTTAGAAGCAATCCGTACTAAAATTAACTGGACGCGACCCACGCGGGGGGCGGTGTAGTTCACAGATGTGGCATTATCACTGGTGCAACTGAATAACAAAACGAACACAATGCAATAACTGTATCAAAATAAGAGAGGTTATTGTACGCGGCGATTGTATGTAAATAATATAAAATATAAATAGTTCCAACACTCACACCAATTAGCATAGCCCCAAAGTAAGCACTATAAGGCTTGTGTTATGAGATACTAGGGTAACGGACAGAATACATATACTGTACATATATAAGTTTTTTTTTATAGAAATACATAATTAAACATCCATGACTGGAGCACAAATGCTCGTATTCATCACACAAACATCTGCCCCTACCGGGATTTGAACCCGGGTTCTCTCGAGTCGGCGACACCATGAAACCCGGCGTACAAACCACTCGGCCACGGAGGTCTTCATAAAAAGAAAAACACGTTTCTGTTCCAAAGTTTGTATCGTACTTAAGTTGAGGCCGACCTGGCTATCAGACAGAAATGACAGAGGTATAAGAAGTACCTACGAAATATTCTATATAAGCTTATCTCTATCTGTTTTCAGCATGGTCCAACTAAGGTTCTGACACTGCATAACATCACGCAACGTAGCGCGTGATGCGTGTTCTTACGTTGCTTGCGAGTATCTATCTTTGTATAGCGTAATGCAATACCCCGAAAACGCATTTACGCGCAGCGTAGCATATCACGCGCCTACACACAGAGTAACACGAGTTTGCATGGCGAAATGTACACGATGCAGATGAGAGAGAGATGCGGGGTAGAGTGAGAATCGCCTAAGAATCGAACCAAGCACATCAAATATGACGAGGCCAAGAAAGACGTGCCGTGCATTCAGACGACCAAAGACTTCCAAAATACGATTAAGCATAGCACAAAACGGTCTCTATTTTCTATCCATATTCTAGAATATATATATATATATATATATATATATGGCTGACGATCTCCGTGGCCGAGTGGTTTATACGCCGGGTTTCATGGCTGTCGCCGACTCGAGAGGTCCCGGGTTCGAATCCCGGTGGGGGCAGATGTTTGTGTGATGAATACGAGCATTTGTACTCCAGTCATGGATGTTTAATATGTATTTATATAAATATACTTACAGTATATGTATTCTATCCGTTACCCTAGCATCCCATAACACAAGCCTTATAGTGCTTACTTTGGGGCTAGGCTAATTGGTGTGAGCGTCGGAAATATTTATTTATTTATTATTTATTTATATATCCAAAATAGCAAAGAAATGTAAATAAATAAACAGACGCGACACATTAAAGGTGTTATTCCGTAGCACGATGCAGACTGCTTCAATGCAGTTTGCCGCAGAGTCGTTTGTAATCAAATTCATAAGTAATTCATACAAAACAAAGGTCTTCGCTTAGACACCACAAATTCGCCATGTTTTATTCGATTATTAGATGGCTGAGTTTGATATTTGTAAGTAATTCTAAAGTTTATAAATAACTTTGAAATTAATGTTACAATGCTAATAAAAGATGTTTCTAGCATGACTTGATATTTTATTTTATAGACACAATAGAAATAAAAACTTATGAATATTTTCACGCGTCTAACTATAACGGTTCACGAGATACAGATGCTGAACCGCTGGCAGATAGAAGGATGAGTAGAGGGTGCTGAGATTAAGTAATCCGGTCCTGTTAGCATCCTTTGGATACAGAAGGTAGTAGAACCTCAAAGAGTTAGCTAACTGCTATTGTCTCTTATCTATTAGACAAGTCCGTCTGTCTGTGGTGCTGTTTCAGCGGCCAAACCGTAAGAGATAGATAAAGAGAATATTTAAGTTATAAGTTAAGAATAGTCTGATAAGACTACAAACCGGATTTGAGTAACGTAGCACTTCCGGTTTTCGAGAAATCAGGTTTTGGTAAACATTTGGTTCACTGGTTTGCTTTAAATATAATGTAACACTTTTTTAACGGGCATAAATCTCACTTTCCGGATCCTCTACAGGCTTCGTGGTCGCAAAGGAATGCCTATGCCCGTAATTGATGCCTGGTCGGAAAGGATTCAATGCTACAGGAATATAAAAAAAACGTCAATGAATCGCGTTCTCAGTGTTTAATTAAATTGATATTGTTACCTGACATTAGCGAGCCTGGTAGCGATCTCTTCCCAGCTCTGCTCCAGCATCTCACCATCAGGGTCAATCAGCTTCACTCCATTGTCGGGTTCCAGGTTGTGCGACGCGGTTATCATGATACCTATTGTGCGACCTGCAATATACGTAGAACTTTCAATACCCTGTAAAATACTCTTCGACGTTCGAGTGTCTGAAGTAATTGGTCTTGATATCAGAAGCAACCAGTTATCAATGAAGGTCACAATACTAATGATATGAATGCGTAAAGTAACACTGTCTGTTACGCCTCGTATTAACAGCTGACCCGATTTTGATAAATGTTTTGACGTAAGTATATTGGTATTGGTACCTTAGTTACTGTTAAAATGGCAAATTACGGATATAGATTTTTTTTTAAATTAAACACCCATTAATCCGCGCTGACGTAGTTGCGCGCTTCCGCTTAGAACCCGTATTATATCACGACCACAAATCAAAGGATACTATCGAGAAACAAAGATTAAAGAAGAAAAATCCGAATCAATGAGATCTTAAGTGAGACTGCATTTACAAAATCGAGATACTGATGTGGTAGTCCAGTACCGCGCTCCTCATTTTGACGGCTTGACCTTCCCTAGATACTCCTAATCCTCCCTTAAACACATTTGCAGAAACAAAATACCAAAATACTCCTACAGTAATTATTTAGCAACTGTCTTCTGAAGATTCAGGACTCAGCTCGCAGCCAATTTATTTGACATTTTTTAATTTTAAGTTTAGTTATTTTCACCACAAATATTATGAAAATTATACTGACCATTTTTAACTCTTGATCGAATCACGGCCAACAAGCCCATGCGGTAGACTACATGTTCAAGCAGATTGGCTCTGGAAAAAGATATTATTATTGAAATTACAAAAGTCTGACCAATATAATAAAATTATGAATCAAATAATTTATTCAAGGGAACAATTTTGTACTTTTCAAAATCAGTAAATTTTGTTAAAAACATTACAGTCCCGTCCGCTGCCTGGTTCGCGTGGATTTTTTTCTAGTAAACTTTTCTTTAGATTTAAACATCTAGCAGTTAAATGCTTCAAAAATAAATAAAATCATAACATTGAAATTATATTAACAACTAAGTACAAACTAATAAAAATGTACACCATGGATTTAATGACATATTAAAGTTTTATTATTTATTTCATGCCATTGCACTTCTGACAGTCTACCACTAGGAATATGTATTAAATTAACCTTTACATAGATATAGTAACTTATCTATCTAGTTCAATATTAATCAAACAACAATCTGATAACAAAAGTAACTACATATTATCAAAATCCAATATTAAACCACTAAACGTCCAATGAAACCATGAGCAACCACCTCTGAATATTAATGACTGCAATCTAGAATTTTAATTAGGATTGCAAAACAAAGACTAGCATACTTCACTAGATTATTATAGTTAATGATTGACTAATTGACGTAAGTAGTTAAAAACTAATTTAAACCAATTAAAAATATATTAGTTTTGTTGAATGATAGAATTAAATCAAAGCAATTTTTTCATGTATATGCATTCATATTGTAATTAATAGGGATAACCTTGTATTATTTTTTATTACCTACTTATTGAGAGGCAAAATGTTATATGCCTCTATTTTTCAATTATGCATATAAATTTTTTTAAAATTAAAAACAACTGGTTCAGCTCCAAGCTTGACCAACATTGGTCGAGGCCATTCCCTTGTCTATAATGAAATACTATTTAAATATCTGTTAGCATGTAAAAAAGACAATAAATTATTATTATTAAAAAGATTTCTATCCTTGACCATTCCAAGGGGAACAGTAATTTATTATTTTATTTATTTATTTATTTATTTCACATTGCTCATGTACATTATTTATTATAAGGTCTTACATAGTTAATAGTGAGTGGTACATGACCCCGTTAGGGTGTTGCAACAAACTTGAGCTTAACATTATATACATTAATTTCATGGCGCAAAAATGTTGTAGCTTTCTAATAATTTGATTTGATTAATTAGCTTCATAATATTATTATTATTGATCAATGCTTATATGATTGTATACACAGTGGATGCAATATCCAAAAGATATAAAATTATTTCTTATCCACTAGATCAATACATCAGATTTTTTTATTTTTTTGTAGAATCTTAAGTTTAAGATACACAAGTAATTTTGATAAACAGTAATAATCCACAGCATGCTTAATATTCTGGAGCATCAAAAACCAATAGATACACACACAGATTGTTTTTATGAGACAGTAAAATTGATGGAACTTCAAACACTGGCTCTGTGCCAAATATTTGAAAGTCACTCTGAATCAAATATATATTTAAAATGAAGTGTATTCATATGACATATCATATGTATGTCATTGTACCTATTCAGAGTTCATTCACTATTTCATTACTACTGAAATGAAAAAGGAACATCAACACCACCAATAATAACATACTAGTCATGTAGATATGTATCTATTTTAAATAATTTGTTATTAAAGCCTGAATTGAATATGAAACTGTAAGAATAATATTTGTTTCAATATATAATTGTAATTATATATTGCAGAAAACAAATGGAGCTAGAAGGAAACAGATGCACCATGAGGCTTAGGAAAATAAAAAATATATAATCTAATATTAAATTGCAAATTTCATAATTTTAAGCATCAATAAGTATTGGTTATTATACAAACCAATTATTTAAGTAAGTACCTAGTCCCTATGCAGGTTGCTATAAATGGAGAAGTAGGCAATATTTTTTAAAGATCAATTATAAAAACTGGCCAAGCGCAAGTCTGGCCTTGCTCTATTAGTTCAGTTCTATTTTGTTCAGTGAAATAAAATTGAAAACATAAAACTTTTCCATGGTGTTTGTTAATTTATCTTTGAGTGGAACATGTTTTGCTATTAACCTTTTAATTTATTCCAATGTCATTGGCTATATGACAAGCAAGGAGCTTAGTTGTGTAATTAGTTTTTACTCCATCTGTGATCCCTTTCAGTTCATATTTGTTAAAGCAATTAGCTTATGTCAACCCAACCCATTGACCATGCATTAGCTTTGAAGAGGATATGATAAAGTTAACAATTAGCCACAAGGTCTGCCGAACCTTAATTATAGAGATGGAATGACAAGTACAGGTAGAAATAGTCACCAAACTTTAAGAATGAATCATATGATTCATAGGGCTTTATAAATAAATTTGATAAAGTCATTGACCACAGCCGTTACCGTAGTGACAGCGCACTTCCCGTTACTAATACTATCACAAAGATGACTCACAAATTTACAACTGCAATAATAAAAGTAGGAAGCTTAGGTAGGAAGTTAACTGCTTACGTGTAATATGCAAATCATAAGACAGAGGCCTAAAAATATTACTTTAGAGAATTGCTTAATGACCTAGTTATGAAATGCCGAGGGTAACTAAGTAAGAATAAAATAAATTTGAACTTACTTTGTGCGAAATCCGGCAGTTCCATATTGAATAAAAACATCACTTGTTTTTGGGTGCATTTCTCTGGCGAACGCGTAGACGACTCGTAAGCTACTTGGTGGCATTGTGATCCGCAAAATTTATTTATAAGGTCGCGTATCGCTCAGGTACAATCACTTGGTGAACCGAGAAACGAGATTTCTGCATTCCCGCTGTGTGATAACTTCAATGAAAAATGACAGCGAAAACGTCAACGTCTCCAATCGACTTTTTGGTAAGGCACCAAAATTAAAGAGTAAGAAAACATAAAATTGTACATATTAACTCGATCGAATAAGGTTTAGATTATATAATTACTTTGAAACTCTTATGAAAACGTAATTTAGTCGGGTTATAATGTAAGAATGAAGGAAATTTCAATACTTGCTAAAATTGGTAGCATGCTTTGCAATGCTATTTGTTTGCTTTTATCCCTGAACATGATGCTTAGCAATACTGATTCTAGATGGCGCTAAATAACGTGTAGAAAAATTATTGCTACTCAACGCTAGGTAGCGTGTATCTACAAACCCAACCAAATTGGGATTATGTCTTTAGATGGCGTTGTTACATCTTGTGGTAGTTCTAAAAGGTGTTCCTAGATGGCGCAACATTAATCATTTGTTCTCACTTGGTCAGATTCGCAAGAGAACGGATTCTCATTTGGCCGGATACGTACGTACAGTACCCCTAGCACGAACCATTATCGAATTCGAATAGTTAGCAAACCGAAATGTCACTGTCAAATTTTGTATGGAAACTTGAACAGCAGCGCCACTTTGGACGTAACGGGAACTAAAAATCTGTACACATTTGACAATGACATTTCGGAGTCGCAAACGTTACGAATTCGATTTTGGTTCGTGCTAGGGGTACTGCACCCTTAGCACGAACCAAAATCGAATTCATATCGTTTGCAAGTCCGGATTGACATTCTCGTTACGTCCGTTGTAGCGCTGCTGTTCGAATTTCCATACAAAATCTGACATTGACATTTCGGACTCGCAAACTATTCGAATTCGATACTAGGGGTACTGTACCCCTAGCACGAACTATTATCGAATTCGTATCGTTTGCGAGTCCGAAATGTCATTGTCAAATGTGTACTGATTTTTAGTTCTCGTTACGTACTTTGTGCCGTTGCTGTTCAAGTTTACACACAAAATTTGACATTGACATTTCGGTTTGCAAACTATTCGAATTCGATAATGGTTCGTGCTAGGGGTATAGTAGGTACTGTATTGTTCTGTACTCCTAGCACTAACCAATATCGAATATTGGTTCGTGCTAGGAGTACAGAACATATTTTTAAGTCTATTAACTCTAAGAGAAAGACCTCATTTAGGGATATAGTTTAGAAAAACTATAATGATAAATTTTATAATTATTTGTGCCAAGTTTCAAGTCTATTAAATCAAGGAATAACATTTTTCATACAAATTTTCATTCCCTATTTTAAACACTTGAGGGGTGAATTTTGTTAAATCCTTTGTTAGTCCTTTGCACCCCTAGACTTTTTAAGGGACCTATGTACCTAATTTGGAGTTTCTAGACCCAACGGTTTGGGCTGTGCGTTTTTATAGTTGATTTTATATATCTAATCTAAATAAGATTAAGAAATATATATATATGACTTTATGGTACTTACGATTAAATGGAATGCAAGGGCGGATCCAGCTTTGGCGCCAGGGGAGTGGGGGTCATATACCCAGCTTTGGCGCCAGGGGAGGTCATATAGTCGTGGTATATTAAATATTGAAAGTACTTAAATAAAATCCCCCTGGGTTTGGTCCATCTGTACCCAGCCTAGGGGGGGGGGGGGGGTCATGACCCCCATGACCCCCCCCCCCCTTGATCCACCCTTGATGGAATGCATGTCTAAACTTATTAAATGCAAGCAGGGCCAAACCTTCAATACATTTCTGCAGCACCCTGAACTGTACTATAAGTTATAAGATGACTACTCCTCCCGTTCCGCCGCACCGCCCACACTTGCATAGGTACCGATTGACGACGATTGCGATAGCACCAAATACAAAGGACAATGGGCAAAAAAACATCCAGCTTCGCAAACATCGTAATTAATATGAATCGAAGGATATATGGAAAATTAGCCTTTTTTATTATGACACCGTTAAAAAATATCCTGGTAATCGAAAGATACGACAAATGGGCATATTTAAGTAGCTAAATAAATTCATTTAATAGGACCTTCATTTTACATTATAAGTGACCATAATAATGTGTCATATGGTACAACCAGATTTACGACAAAGCCTGCCGACCACCCTGCGCTTGCATTTAGTGTGACACTTCATAACGGTTAACGGGGTAGGAGTACAGGGGTTGAAGGACTTCATTTGCAGTCCTTTGTCTTATTTCGTTGTCATTGTGCGCAGGGATGTCACTTTTAACTAACATGGTCTAGCAGAAATAGAGTCTCTAAATTGGGATATGGGTGAGACATAGTACTTTATCTTGGCCTTTGCTGTAGGAACAATGTGTCCTTGAGCCCCCTATATAAAATTATTTTCTAACGATATGACTTCTGCTCAGTGCAAGATCACAGGAGATCGAAGACCCAAAAGAATACTTTTATATATCAGGCTAATAAGCCTGATACAGTGAAGTAACGCTACCAGTTTTTTGGCGACCGTCCCAACAAAACGAAATCTTTAATTGACGAAATGCCTTATCAAATAAAATTTGATTTGTTCAATGAATATTGCCGCACGAAATCACTTTGCAGCAATTCCCTTCCCATTTTTCTGGGTTTTACGCAGTTTTAACTATCAGACCCTAAAATATTTCTATAAATTCAGTATGTTCGAGATTGCACTAATTACTTTACGTTGCTTCGGCCAATTAATTTTGTGCGTAATCTTAACGTGTCGGCAGGACCTAAACGGTCGTAATGATGCTTATTTTCATCGCCGTGACCGCTGAAAAACAAGGCGAGACGACCACATTTGTTGCTCTAATTTGGCTAAATAAAGACACATGTAGCTGGTAATTGATTCAAATATGCTGCGCTTAATGGTCTGAGGATTATTTCGCTGGGATGCTTTGAACTATGTTAATTGGTGCGCTTATAGACTTGAGGTTATCCCTAGTAAATATAAGTTTTGCATATGCCTAGGTATGAATGCAGATTATTTCTATTCCCGCACTAAGTCTATCGAATGATGAGTTGGATAGTTTCAATTCAGTTAATCTGCTTAGCAGCTGACACTCATCCATGACATCGGTGTTCCCCGTCCCCTTAGGAGCTAGTTAAGTAAGATTAGATGGGAATCACGTATATTTTTTTTTTCAATGCACAATACAACAATTAACCTCTATGAACAGGAAATAATTTTTCATTTCATTATCACACAAAATAATAACCAAAATATACAATACACATGTACCGAATCGAAAACCACACGAATTGATATTTCAAAACGGTCTGATAGTTAATAGCGAAATTGCTGGCATATGACTAAATAACTTAATGTTCTTTACGACCCACCAAGTTTGGTGGAGCCCTCGTGTTCCACTGGCTGCCTCTGCAAAACTAGAAACCAAGTTATAGACTTAACTAGACTTGGAAAAATGAACTTTATTCACTGAAGTAAAAGACTTCGTAAAGCAATAGTTTAAGCTTGCAAACACACAGGCGGGAGTGATGTAGGCCATTTTTAAGCGGTCTCTGATACCAAGTCGTCCCATTAAGTTTACCTATTATCACAATGATATTACCCACAATTTGGTATGATATCAGTAATAATAGATTTAATGCATTCTCGGCTCACCGCGTTATTATTTTATAGTCTTTCTCGGGCTTTATGGCCTTATCGAGCAGTAGGTATGTTAAATAGCATAGCTACCACTTTCGTGTACCTTTTAGAAGTCACGCACAAAACAAATGCAGTAGGAAGTTTTTTGGGTAATTAGACAAATTAAACGATTATTTTGGAATACATACCTATTAACAATTAAATTACTTGGTAGCGAGGCATAAAAATGTAAGCCATCAAGCCTATTAATGCTGGGGCATAGTCATTGAATTTGGATGGAACAGGGAGATTGTAGTATGACTAACCATCACTACGCAGACCTTGTGGGGATTGGTGGGTGCTAATGAGTACAGAACACAGGAGATGCAGCTGAGAGCCCGTAACCAAAGACAAATTGCCTTCCGAAGCACATGGAAGGCCAAAATAATTTGATGGTCTCCTAAAGTATTTATCGTATAAAATAATTGAAAAAGTGAGGACCTAGGTACTTAATGTAATAAAACAAAGCTTTAACGGTATAGATGCGTTAATTTATTTGTTATTTGACGTTTCGCTTATTTTTCAGTCTGCGACGTCAGAATTATGATTTTTATTTACTTTCTCTAACTACCTTCGAAAGACTTTTATCGAGCATTCGGATACTTCATTGAAATTTTTATTGTCTATATATGAATTTATTAGCTAATTTAATTAATAAAGTCCTTTATTTATGCATTTTTATCTTTTGAGTTTATATATTTGACCCTAACTACCGTAAACTACCAACAGTTCCAAAATAGGGATATATTTCTGAGAAGAACTATATCGGAGAGGCTTTTTTCTCCTTCTTATGTTAAATCATGTAACCAAAAAGAACTAACAGTATCTGTTGAACTTGCAGTATATTTTCGGGGTTGGGATTTCATCTGTTGTATAATGGGTTACCAAGTTGGTGGTATATACCAACCATCTTCTCTATTGAAATTTGGATGTTTCTTGGAGGAATGCATCATTGTTCAGTTGCAAGGATCTATGGTTTATCAAATCTAATGTAATGATTTGGTCCTCCTAGTTCACACACTGCAGACTTATTTTCGCGTCTATGTTTCATATCTGCAATATGTACTTTTAACCGAATCCCTATATTCCTCTTTGTTTGGCCGATGTAGGAGACCCAAGAGTCGCATTCAAGTTTGTGGATACCAGCAATTTGAAAGGGTATATTGCACTTGACAGGTCGTAGAAACTGTTTGATCTTCTTTGGCAGCTTGAAGTTAGTATTGATCGAAGCACGCTTCAGAATCTTCCCAATCTTGTCAGTGACTCCTTTCATGTAACAACATGTACAGCCAGGTTGTCAGTCAAGTGTGCTAGGTTTGGTGCGATTGTAACGGCGACGTAGTACATTCAGATTATTATCCTTCATAAGTTCAGCTGCCAGGTGTTGTTTGTCACAGACGCCCCGTGCTCTCTGAA